TGTGCTGCAGCTGCCAAAAAAGCCAACACAGTGCTGGGCTGCATTAACAGAGGGATAGAATCAAGATCACGTGAAGTATTAATACCACTTTACAATGCCTTGGTAAGGCCACACTTGGAATACTGCATCCAGTTTTGGTCACCACGATGTAAAAAAGATGCTGAGACTCTAGAAAGAGTGCAGAGAAGAGCAACAAAGAGGATCAGGGGACTGGAGGCTAAAGCATATAAGGAACGGTTGCTAGAATTGGGTATGTCTAGTTTAACAGAGAGAAGGACGAGGGGGGACATGATAGCAGTGTTCCAGTATCTCAGGGGCTGCCCCAAAGAAGAGGGAGTCAAGCTATTCTACAAAAACCCTGAAGGCAGGACAAGAAGCAACAGATGGAAACTAATCAAGGAGAGAAACAACCTGGAACTAAGGAGAAACTTCCTGACAGTTAGAACAATTAACCAGTGGAACAACCTGCCTCTAGAAGTGGTGAATGCTCCAACACTGGAAGTTTTTAAAAAGAGACTGGATAGCCGTTTGTCCGAAATGGCGTAGGGTTCCTGCCTGAGCAGGGGTTGGACTCGATGACCTCCAAAGTCCCTTCCAACTTTTTTTATTATTATTATTATTATTATTATTATTATTATTATTATTATTATTATTATTATTATTATTATTATTATTATTATTATTATTATTATTATTATTACGAGGGGGGACACAAGGAAGAGGGAGTCAAGCTGTGAAAGGATGTCCTAAAATTTGGGGGAAGGATAGTCAGCGAGGAGCAGGCATTACTGGCTGAAATGGAGCAAAGAATTTGACTTGCTGGAAAGAAACTGCCTATATTCCTCTTTGAATAGGCTTCCCGAGACATTTTCCTCATCCCTTCCCACCGCTTGCCAAGTATTGCCACCTAGTGAACTGGAAATAGCACAACAAAAGGTCAAACTTCCCGTGTCACGGAGCTGAGTGTAGTTGTTCTCTAGTTTTTTCTTTTTTTAAAAAAATAAATAAATTAAGGTACAGTCGAGAAGGCTGTAGCCTGCAGCAGATTTACAAAAGGAAAGAGATCAAGAGGGAAGAGTTTCATAACTGATTGTTCTCTGTCATTTTTTCTTCCCTGCAAAAATGACCCCTTTTATCCTCTCCCACCGGGAAGATTTTGCCAGGAGAAATCTTCCATCACGTTTCTTTTTCAACCAAGAGTTTGGACTGGGGGTGTGAACTGGGAAGATCTCACAGAGATCCCATCTTATCCCCACGGTACCCGTCTTAACAGAGTCCATGTTTGGATTGCAAGCCTAAAAGGAAACAGCCAACCTCACCGCAATGAAGGATTAAGGATCCTTTAGTCCAGTGCTTCTCAACCTCGTCAACTTTAAGGGGCGTGGACTTCAGCTCCCAGAATTCCCAAGCCAGCATGCTTGGGGAATTCTGGGAGCCAAAGTCCAGGTATCTTAAAGTTGACAAGGTTGAGACATGCTGTCTTAATCCAATCCTTGGATCAGTGCAGGAATCAGCTACGACAGCTAATCCTCTGTTAAAGCTTTTGCTGATGGCTTTAAGTCAAAATAGATGCTTGCAAAGCCGGTTCATCTTATCTAGCTTTGAATACCGCATTTACTCTGCCTCCTGTATTTTCCGTGTCTTTCTCCATCTCTTGTAGCCCAACTGTGTTATTTTTCTGGACCCAATTTCTCTTCATTTGCTCCCCGAGTATCTTTCTTGCTTCGTTGAAGCTTCTTCTGAAGAGAGAGAGAAAAACCTCTGGCCCTCACCCCTTTCCAGATCGAGCCCCGACGGAGCAAATATTTCACAGTCCGCCTTCTAGTTTTCCAGGTGCAAAGTTTTGAGCCAAGTTTGCTGCGCGACAGACCCAACGTCTTTGGAGATGCTCAATCCTGATTGTCCCAAAGGTGCTTTTCCCAAAAGCAACTGGACTTTCTTGGGTTGTTGTTGGGGTTTTTTTTGCCTTGAAAACGTTTCACTTCGCATCCGACAAGCTGCTTCTTCAGTTCTTCAGAAGCAAAATGTTTTCAAGAAGGAAAAAAAAAACCCCACTCAAGAAAATCCAGTCGCCTTTGGGGAAAGCACCTATGGGACGTGCCTCACGGGCCATTTTTAAGACCGAGTGGAGAACGAGAAATGAGAAACGAGACTTACGTTTGACAGTATTTCGGGACTCCTGGAAGCCAGCGGGCTCCGAACCCCAGCCCAGGGCTTCGCATTCATGCTCCACCCCTTGCCCGTGCTTGGCACCTGCGCCCACACCTCCTTTGCCCTTCTCTGCCAGCCAGCACATCTTCCACAGCCCCACGCTGCGCTTACGCCCGTCCTCCAAGGTCTGGTACACCCAGTTGGGAGTGAAGGCAGCCGCGTTGTTGAGAATCAGGGACACCAGCGCGACCAACACGGCTGTGGCGATCAGTTTCTGGACCGTCATATCTGACGGTCACCCAGCGCCGGCGGCCGCTCTCGGGGAGAAGATCCAAGGGTCCCCAAATCAGCTGCAGGGCATTGAATTGGGTCTGGTCGGTGGGAGGCAGGTGCAGGAGCGCGTTAGGAATGGCTAGAGTACATCGCCATTCATTCTCAAAGTCAGCTGCTGGGAAGTTCCTGGCCGCACAAAGACCCACGAGGCAGAGAGGAGAAATCCATGCGCAAAAGAAGGGCAAGAGCGAGGTCTTCCAGATTGCTCCTTCCCTCCTCAGGGCTTGCTTTATCCACCTTCTTCTCCTTTGAGCAGGACCGAGCTGGTGTAGAGTTGGAAGTTGAGCAGGCGCATTCTTTCCGACACCCAATTTGCAAAGGGTCCCACCACGACGACGTAGGCAGTGGCTACGGGGATGGAGTGGTGTTCTCGGACAGCTGGAGGCCCACAGTGCCTCTTGAAGGCTGTCCGTCCCTTCAGCCTTCTGACCCGCAGATGTGGGAAGGGGCTGGGCCCTGCGGCGAGAGGTGTCAAGACCCCAGAAACGCTTTTGCCGTCACCCGAATTTCTCAGAAGGACGCCAGGAGGGTCCTCGGCTTCAACGCTTTGTGCCAAGGCCAATCCCCAAGAGAGAGAGATGAAAGGCTTGCATCCCCAAGGAAGAGTGCGTATTCCCAGGGACTCTTCTCCAGCGCTGCTTGCTCTTCCCTCCCCGATGACGGAGCCCGCACACTGCCGGAGCAGGAAAGCAGAATCCTTGCTGCAAGGAAGTTTTCTCTCTCTCTCTCTCTCTCTCCCCCCCCCTCTCCTCTCCTATCTGTCCATGAAAAGGAAACGGTTGTTTGCGCGGCTGCTTTTGGTGAAAGCCCAGGGCGTAGCCGATTGCAAGCGACAGGGCCACTGCCACGGCCCTCTCCGATGTGAACAGGATGTGTTTCCTGAAAGGAAAAGTCAAAGACAGACTTCTAAAGTCCCGTCTCTTTCCCTTCCCCACTCCCAGCCACCCTCCCTCCCTCCCTCCTGCATCATTCCATGGCTGTCCTCCTCTTCCCCCCTCCTCTTCGGCTTCCCAGAGAGAAGAGTTCATTCCGCAAAACTCTGCTAGGAAGAATGGTTAGGATAATATTGTGTGGTGGTCAAAAAACAACAACAACCTCTCAAGGATCTCGTGGAAGGAAATAGATCCAGTGTGTGTGTGTGTGTGTGTGTGTGTGTGTGTGTGTGTTCTTGGTTGTTTTTTCTTGCAGACGTTTCATTACCAAAGTAGGTAACGTGATCAGTGCTAGAAGGGAATGGGGTTTGCAGAGAGGAGGAGGAGGAGGAGGAGGAGGAGGAGGAGGAGGAGGAGGAGGAGGAAGAAAACTGTGGGGTCCTTGGTGCTCTCTGAGCTGGGTGGTTTTCTTGCAGACGTTTCATCACCCAACTTGGTAACATCATCAGTGCTAGAA